AGCAGGCTTAAGACACTGAGGAAGTTAGTGTATTTTTCCTCATCATTCAAAGGCAATAGATGTTACTGAATCCAAAGCTAAACACAGAGTTCCACAGAGTTTTACATGTCAATTTGTGGTAATGTTCATATTCTTTTTAAAAAATTTAATCACACAAATCAATTTTCTAACTTTTTTCTAAATAGCAATATAGATAGGTAAATTTACTATCAAATTTAGGACTTTTGAGCGTTAGACATTAGTGTCTTAAAAGGTATGTTTTGTGAACTGTCCTATACATTTTTTAAGCTGAGCTGTATATATTAATAATTACAACTGTTTGACCTTAAATGTAACCAGAGTGGCAATGATCTACAACTCTCAAAAAAGGAATTGAATTCCATTCAGTTCTTATGGCTGGCTGTTTAAATTTCCAGTAACATGAACTGAATTAGAAAGATAGATCATAGCATACACGGTATTCCAAAATGTGCTGAATTTAAAGAATAACAAAATGTAGCAATAGTTTTAAGAAAAGTGGAGACATTGCCTATGTAGAACTGGATGAGGAATCAGATGAATTTGGGTACAAAAATATTTCAATATACTTGACATTTTTATCCAAGTGAAAATACTTATATTCAATCAATTTTAAATAGATATCATTGAACTTCATGCCACTTCTCTAATTTTTTGTTTGAAAACGTCACTCATTTATATAACGAATTTCAGTCATTTTCATATAATATTCTCCTCTCTTATCTCTATTTTTTCCTCCTGCTGAAACTCTTCTTTCCAAGTTCCCCTTTTGCTTTAATGTCATTTTGTGTGTGACACTGAAAAAAAAAAAGACACTTTATCACTAAACAGCCATTAAGTTCCAATAATCCTTCAGGGAAGGGTGGAGTCTCATAGCTCCTACCCCATCCATGTTGAAGTATCTACAGGCCCAGCCTTGTGCAGGTATTATTCATTTAACACACGCTTCAGTGAATTCATGAGTATAAGGACTTTGGTATGTCCAAAAGATTTCTTTTTGTTGCCCATTTCTGCAGTTCTCTGCTGGGTTTTGTTTGCTTGAGTTTGCATGGGATTTGTTTATGCTGACACCATTGCTGTGGTTTCATATGTGCAAGGCCCTAGGAACCTGTAAGACTATTTCCATACGGTCATGCACCTCCTCCCTGCCTCTAACAATCTTCCTTCCCCCTCTTCAGCAATGGTCCCTGAACCCTGGGTGGGTGGAGTTTAATATAGGCGTCTTGTCCAAGGACCCACACTTTGCAGAATCTTATTCTTTATGCTTGGCTATTTATGACCTTTTTTGTTCCTGGCCCTCTGTTGTATGAAGTAGCTTCATTGATGCGAGTTGAGAGATGCATGAGTGTTCTCTTTACCTCTCATTCTATGTTCCATGGGCTGTAGGTGTAGAGGTTGCATTGTAGATGTGCTGTCAAGGCTGAGGAAATTCTTAGACACTTCACTTCTGTGTATGACCAGTTGTGGAAATCTGTAATAATATGTCTGTTGAAAAGAAGCTTCTTTGATAAGCGATGACTAGTATACACGTCTGTAAATATAAAGATACATATTTTTCACATAGAAAGAAATTACATTTGTATAGGGATGTGAGAGTCTTGGAGTTTTCTCTAAGATCTATGACCACTTCGGCCAAGTGTATTCAGCTATGTTTATAGGACCACACGTGAATTTTCTAACATTGAGTGGGCTTTAAATCCAATTACGTAGCCATTGATTACCCACAAGATGAAAGTGTCACTACTGTACCAATGTCATTTGCTGTGCTGATCAATGATGTGGTTATTAGGACTTAAAACAGGAGTTAGACCATCAATTAATGTTTTCCTGTAACAGCTTGCATAGTTCTCTCCAAAACTATGAGATCTAGCCTTCAGGGAGGTGGCTTCCAGGTCAGTTCTAACTCCATTGCTCCAAATCCTGTGTCCAAATTATGTTCTGTCTTCAGGGTCTTACTTCAAGTTTGAGGCAATCAAAGGTTGTGACAATAATAGCCTTTGCAATTTTGTGAGTCCCTTGGACTACCTTGATCAACAACTCAAAGGGAGGTTTCTCCTGTCTGGCACTATTTCTTGTTATGTAGCCTTTAGCTATGCACATAGACTCACGTAGAGATTTTGTTTGTGTAATTTGTAAGTAGGTTTTTGGACTAATATGATTACCTCTTTTTTTTTCACTAGCTAGGTGTTATTTATCTCTCCTATCTCTCCTTATCTCTCTCTCTCCCTCTCTCTCTCTCTCCCTCTCTTTCTCTCTAACCCTCCTTCCATGCGCTCCTCATTTAAAGTATCCAAATTTTCTCCATTTCACCCTTGATAATACTTGTCTTCCATGGTCCCACCTCTCTCAAGCTCTTTCTTCCACTTTACCCCATAGCTCCTTGGATAACCCTTCCTTTCCCTGTCTCATTTAAATAGCCCCATTTCATCTATTTCCCCCTTAGTAACCTATATCTCAAATTTTTCTCTCCTAGGTTCCTTCTTTTTATATTGAACTTTTTGAGAGTGGGGAGGAAAAGAAAATAAGAGAATCTTAACAAAGAGCTAAAGTCAGAATAATCAGGGGAAGAGACAAGGTAATACATGGGATATAAGGATGAGTCAAGACATAGGGTAGGAATTTGAATAGATTTGGAGGGAGAAAAATAGGTTTTGAGCAAAGCAGTGCTTTTATCCATTTTTTTTTAACAAAATACTTTTCTTAATCACATCAGTCTTCCATTTTGTAGACATATCTCTTCCCTTCTTTCAGATATCTAGACACTGATATCTTTCTTAACACTGATATTGTGTTTCTGCAAATTCTTTGAAAAATCACAGTAAGCTACAATAAGCTGACTTAGTATTACAATAACAGTTATATTGTCTCATAGATAAAAAAAATATTTCCATGAATTTGAGAATGCCTAAGAAACTCAGTGAAGAAAATATACAGAAAGAGTATACGACACCTGTTAGGAGAATCTTAAAAAATTTCAGTTGCTAAACTTGTGAGAATGTAAAAGTAAATCCCTTTCAGCATTTCTCTGCTAAGCATTATTATTCCATTCCCCTTCATAAACCATTATCACAGTTGACAAAGAAACAGTGGCAAGTAAATCAATAAAATATTTACATAAATTTGATTTATGAAGGAATAGAATAAATCTGTGTTGGTTGCTACACTGTGGCCAGAATAATGATTTTTTTTTCAAATTTTTGTTTCAAGCATTGTATTCACAGCCTCATAAAGTGATTGAGCATTGGATATATTAGATCCTCATTTCTGAAGTTAATTATTAGGACTAAATTAACTAAGAAATAAGAATGCCTATGTGTAGGTAAAGGACATGAACAAGCAGCTCCTGTTTGAGGCAGACAGATGATAGACAAAGAGGAGGGGAAAAAGCATCCTCCCATATCCTAGACTTTGTTCCACACCATGTAATGCACACGTTCAGATAATGTCTTACACTCAAATTGTAATTCCTTCCAATGGGATATCAATACAATTTCATCAGTGTTCTGCAACTTCATGTGTGAAACCAACACTATATTAAATTTTTTTCCCCCTAAATTTCAATTGGCCAGTTCAGGCTGGTAGTTCTGATGGTATAAATGTTTTACCCTAAATAAAATTCCTATATGACTCAGTTGACTCCTGAAACTGACAAAACATATTTATAGAAGTGTCATTAAATCAATTATTTCTATAGATTTTATGAGAATAATTACATCCACTTTTATACACAAAGCCAGGACTACCAAATTCACCCATTAAGTGAAATGTAATACTCTTGCAAACATCTTTTTGTGCTGGCTAATTTGGGTTTTAGTCCTTCTCTGCAGGGGTGGAGATGAGATAAGTATACTCACTACATTATCTTAGATCTTGTGTTACCAGGAAAGTGATGCCTGGAGCTGCCTTTTATTATTCTAAAATAAAACAGATGACTATTTCTCTAGGGAGTCAGCTCTCATATGCAATTGGAATGGGGTGGTCACTTGGCTCCAAAGAAACAAGTCCATAAGCAGATTGGGCTAATGAGATTTTTTTAAAGTTCAAGAAGTAATAAATTGTGTATAAGACATTAACAATGTTTCACAATGATGGGGTCATGTAGATGCATATTTTCATGCAGAGTAGTTTTAGTATATTTTCCTCTCATAATTGCAATGGATTTTGATTTTTAACAATTGTTTTTTGAGAGTGGGTTATTTGCCTAACACCTCATAAGCCATCATTGAAGGAGGCCTGGATTGATACTTACAGGCTGAAACTAAAGAAGAAACCATGGAGGAATGCTGCTTTACTGTCTTGCTTCCCCTGACTTCCTCAGCTACTTTGCTTACAGAGCCCAGGCCCACCTTGGGCTGGCACAACCCGCAGTGAGCTGGGTCCTATAACAATTAGCAATTAAGAAAATGCCTCACAGGCATGGCCACAAGCCAGTTAGAAAGAGAAAATTCTTCATTTGAGGTCCTCTTTTTCCAGCTCCAGGAAATCTTACATCCTTTTCTGGCCTCGATGGACATGTGTGTGTGTATATACATACAAACACACACACACACACACACACACACAAACATTAATAAATGAATAATAAATAAATAATAAATAAATAAATAAATAAATGAAAAGTAATCTAAAATGTAAACAAGCTAGCACAGGAATTGATGTCAATTACAAAAGGTAAATTTTTAAGAGGCAGTGTGAAACTTAAGCTTTGTAGTAGGTAATCCATTTGCAAAATTTCATTAGATTTAAGAAAGTACAAAATGGAACTCACAAAAAAATTGTACTCACTTAAATTTTCATATAACAATACTGACTCATCATCTTATTATGAGGGTCAAGCACATGTTAAAGACAATTTTATTGCTCTAAAATATTAATGATTTATCTATAGCATTATGTCATCTCTGTATAAACAGTAAATCATAAAATACTTGTTTACTAATATTGATCTTTTTATTATTACATTAAAATTTATAAGTACTGTTTTAATATTTATCAGAGACCACCTTGAATCTCTTCCACATTTTCCTAATAGCATTTTTAATTTCTTTATTCCTGAAAGTGTAAATCATAGGATTCAGCAAAGGTGTCATGATGGTATCAAACACGGCTACCTTTTTCTCAAAAGAAGATGCAGATGTAGATCGTGCATATATAAACATGCAGGGGACAAAGAAAGAAACCACAACAGCAATGTGGGATCCACAGGTGGAGAGCGCTTTCCATCGGCCTTCAGAACTATGACCTCTTAGAGAGAACAAGATGACACCATAGGAAACAAGCAACATACAGAAGATTATGATGCAGATAGACCCACTGTTGGCAAACACTAAGAGGCCATAGATGTAAGTGTCAGTGCAGGCAAGCTCCAGCAATGGGAACAAGTCACACATGAAATGGTCAATGACATTGGGTCCACAGAAGGGCAGCTGCAAAGTGAAGATAATCTGTATGACAGAGTGCAAGAAGCCCCCTGTCCAGGCCACTCCCACCAGAGTGCCACAGAGTCTCCTGTTCATGATGGATGAGTAGTGCAGGGGCTTGCAAATGGCCACATAGCGGTCATAGGCCATGGCTGTCAGGACAATCACTTCAACTGCAGCAAAGAAGTGTTCAGCAAAGATCTGTGTCATGCACCCTTCAAAGGAGATGGTCTTGTTCTCATCCAGGGAGTCTACAATTATTTTGGGTGTGATGACTGAAGTAATACACGCATCCAGGAAGGACAAGAAAGCCAAGAAGAAGTACATGGGGGAGCCCAGCAGTGCAGGGCTGAAGAGGATGGTCACTGCAATTATCATGTTGGCCCCAATGGTTGCAATGTAGAGAAACAAAAATAAGACAAATATTATTTTCTGAACTTTTGGGTTCTGTGAAAGCCCCAGGAGTATAAACTCAGTTACAGAAGTCTGGTTTAGCATGATTCATAATGACAAAGTTGACATAAAGATTTCATTTATCTATTTATCTATTTGTTAATTTATATTATGTGATGACTTTATGTATGTGTGCCTGCATGTGCACACACATTCACATATGTGGAAGCAGTTGCCATTGCCTTTGTGTGGAGGTCAAAGTACAACTTGAAGGCATTTCTCTTTTCTACTATATGTATTCTGGGGTTCAAACTCAGCTGGTGTTTGAAAACAAGTGTCTTTATCCAATAACCCAATTTTCTGGCCATTTTCTTTTTATTTACATCTGCAATTGTGAGAAAAAAATACTTTAAATAAGTTTGTAATATTATTGTCAATAAGTAAGTACAACCTTATGTAAACTTATCTAGTTTAATTTCATTGATATTGAGAGTAGAATTTTAGAAGATTATTGAAAGGAGGTAGTTGGCGATCACATAGAATTGTGGTCGAGGTAAATTATTCTTACTAGTTTAAATAGCTGCATTTTATTATGAGGAATAGAAATTACCTGCTTTGTGCATAGAAGAGAAATAGCTTATCTTTCAGATGTCAGCTGTTGTCATTCCCCATTGGCTTCTTGAAGTGAAAAGAGAGAACCATTCTGAATCCATATCCTCCTTAAGAACAAAAGGACCATAATTTAGTAATCATGTCTATCATCTTCATGGAATGAGGCAGGCATGAGTACTCTCTCAAGAGTTATCAAAACACTACCTTATCTACCAATAGATGAAGAAATATGTGTACTTTAAAGTGCACTTGAAAATCCTTGAAGTATTTTAGAATTTCTTTAAAATTCTTAAATATCCTGATTGGAACTTAAATTGGATTAATATATTCTTTACAATGCATGAAAACCTGTGAGAAAGAGTCCAGCACTGTAAACATGGCATATTTTCAGAGTGTGATTTTGATTTTAATTCAGCATTTTCAAATGTGACTATAGCTTAATAAAAGTAATGTCTGTTGTCATGATAACTCAAGTAATTCAAGACAACAATTGCTTAAGATCTATTTTCATAGGGCATGGTTTGTTTTTATTATTAACTGGTGAAAGCTGTAACTAAAGAGGCTAGATTTAAATAAAGAAAAGATATTTTGTCTAGGAAATTAAGAGTCTCTGTCTCCAACACACATGGACTTTCCTTTGAATCAACTGAGAAAGATGTGGAGGTTTCTGTTTACCAAAAAGATCTGCAGGTTAAAAGTGACTTTTCTATACTCCTGTGAATGAGGGCATATTTTATTACTTTTTCATATGTGAATGAGGCTGAGTGATCTTATCCAGTGCCAGACCCAGTATGCTAAGATATTGATTGACCTTTCATGTAAGATATGCCCCTTGGTGCAATAGTGGCAAGACTGCTTAAGGGCTAACAAACCACTCTCTTGATTAGACTGAGGCCATCTTAACAGGATCATTCGTGCCTGCTACTGTAAATATGATCAAAACTCATGGATAGGGAAATCATAGAACCTAAGTGAGAACCTATTGATACTGTTTTGGTAAATGTTCATGTTTCAACTCCTCTTCTTAATTATGCTTCTATCTATAACATGTGCTGCTCTCAACCTTGGACGAAGGTTCTTATTGCAGAAGGGAGTGGTTACTGCAACAATTCTTAGTTATTCAAAATGCCAAGAAATGTTGGCTATGTATGCTCAGTCATTAATGGAACAACAATATCACCTCCTGCTCAAAGCGCAGGAACATCACAGGAAAGGGGGAACAAATGATGCAAGAGCAATATGTGGAGGAGCACTGTGAAGTGCTGTCCTCTGGATATGACATGACTGTGGCACACATGAACTTACAACAGATGTAGTAACCTACACAAGACCTGCAGAAGATCCAGATGATTGAAAATTCTAGTATGTAGCAGAAAGAAACGCCCAAGGTCTCAACTCTAGCTGAGGAGCTGTTGGCAGTTGATGGCTGTTCCAGAGGAAGAATCACTTTTCTTTAGGAGTATAACCACTGATACATTCTCATTCCCTCATGGAAGATCCCAACTCTATGAGCATTTGGGCAGTATTGGAATCAATGGATTATAATAGATTAGATAGGTATATAGATGATAGAAAGATAGATGATGATAGATAGATGATAGATATAGATAGATAGATAGATAGATAGATAGATAGATAGATAGAGCAGAAAATGATTGAATAAGACACCTGACATCAACCTCTGGCCTCCACATGCATTTGTGTACATGTGCATACATAAACATGAATGAACACATACACGTGTGTGTGCACGTGCACGTGTGTGCATGTGTGTAAAAAGGACTTAAAGTTGAGAAGGCTATGTGATAGGAAGATCATGGTGGGAATTGAAGGTTAAGAATGATGGATGAATATGGTCAAGATACATTATGTCCATGTATGAAATTCTCAAAGAATAAAAAATTCAAAAAAATCAGAAGTTGATAATTGTCTATAGCAAATTGTTGTATAGACATTAAAAAGAACTAACAGCTTTGCTATAAGTTTGAGTCTTATAATTTAACAAATTTCCAGTAATTTATATAACTGAAGAAATACAATTTTTGACACATAAAGTTTCAAGTGCATATTGATGTAATATAAAACAAATGTTCATAGTTCATAAACAGTTTAGTTTACCTGCTCAGTTTAAGGATTATAAGAAGTGTTAAGCACAAAAATTTCAAAACGTTATGATTTGGGGGGACAGGGTCTTCCTCTAAGCCCAGCTAGCCTGGAACTCACTATGTAGAAAAGGTTGGCCTAGATCTCACAGAGATCTGCCTCTCTCTGCTTCCCCTGTGCTGGAAGGGGTGCACTACCACTCTTAGCTTTAAAATGTTACTCTTAATAAATGTTCTATTATAATTCTAGTTAAAATGAATTCATTTTCTTCCAAATGTAGCTGCCTTACCCACAAAAGAGTTTTCACGAATCTTCCAAATAAATCTTCCATTCCTTGAGGTCATTTGTTTCAGGAACACACCGCTTGCAAAAGTGCATATATCATCTCCTGTATACACAACTTGTATCAATAAAATATGTTAATGTATGAATAATTCCATGTACATACATGCTTGTATCCACATTTGTTTTAATATTTGTGAAAACAGCAACGTGTTTGAACTGAGAGGGAAAACAAGTTGACTTTAATGACTTCCATTGAGAATACACAGCAACAACTTTCCGAATGAGTGTAAGTAGTTTTGTGTGATATTTTAAATCAGGCTTTTTCATGTCATTCTCAGTTCATTTCTCATTAGCTCCTATAATAGGAATTCCATATCTGCTCAGAAAAAAAATCCTTTATAATAGAGTAAAAAGGATCAATACATGACTTAGCACTGACACTTATAGCTTTTAAACCTAAATAGATGAAGAATAGAAATGCTTAAGAAAATCAAAGAGCATGATATATATTCATGATAACATCATAATGAATCTCATCATTTTGTGCAGTGAAAATATATTAGATAAAGAAAGATGCCTCTAGACTCTTGAGACTTACATTCAGATGTGTCCCTGTACTTGGTCTGGGGAGAGATCAGAATATTTACTCTTTTTGATGTTCTGTGACCTTTGGGTTTCACCTCTATGAATGCTTAGAATAGAAAGAGTATCCATAGATTTCTACTGAAATATCATCAGTCTCCTCATAAGAGATGAAGAGCGTTAAGGACAATTTGTCCCAGGCCACAATATGGAGCTGTGAGAACTCTTTGTAATTCTTACTTTTACATGGCCAGAGCTGATTAGTGCTTTCCTTTCAAATTTATTCAGAATTGTAAAATATTTTGTGTCATGGGTTATAATAAAACATTTCGTTAGTTGTCCATGGATGCAGTATCATGGCCCTAATACCTGTCTATAGCTAAACCTATTTCAGATACCTTTATTGTATGAGGAAAACCAATTTGAGCAGGTGATTCTAAGGAAACCAGCACCTACATAAATTGAAATAACAAATGAAATAACACTTTCATTTCTTCAATAAAGACATTTGTAAAATTCATATTAAAACATACACAAAGGAGAGTATATACTTTAGTCATCGTTATGATGATAATGATTGTGATTTAAATTTATTCTAAAGAAAATTACATAAAGACTTTGTGTTGTAATATATTGCAACTCACAACATAAAATGGAAGGTTGTTTAAATTTTAGTTAGATATGAATGAAACCCAGTGTCTATTTAAGTGTAACATATCCATGTTTATTCCAGAACTCTGACAAATGTATTCATAGAAAATAGCATGAAAGTATCAAGTACAAATAAATGAGAAATGCACTGGAACTTCTTTACTGTTATTTCTGTTAATCTAAAATTGGGCCAAATAAAAATGTTAAGTAGAAAGAAAAAAAATTGTTCAGTCTACTATCCATAGGGCAAGAAAACAACATTAAGTGAATTAACCATTTTCTACTGAACAAACTATCACACCTCAAGGTTTCAGTCCACTAGAGAAATATTGGTAATTCTTTTCATTACTATAGAGGAATGAAATAGTGTCTCTTGTAGCCCAAACTACCCTTGAGTGTGAATTCACCAGGAGGCCAGAATGACCATGGATTCCTAATCCAACACATGCTTCTCAAATACTAGGATTATAAATTTGTGCTACTACACAAAGGGAATTGCATAGTTCTTATGGACATGTCCTATAAACTGTAAATCAAAAAGAATACAGGTAGAATTATGTAAAAGTAAGTTATATACAGGGCCTGAGGTAACTGATTCAGTCATGAGAAAAACATATCTTTTAAAATTATAGTTATAAAATTATACCAATTACAATGAAATTGGTTCATAGAAGTAATACTATCAAAAGACTAATTGGTAAACGATTCCAAAATTATAAACATGTTTATAATCTATATAGTAGTAGAACTGACCCTAAAAGTGAATTCTAAAAATGAGATGAGGAATTTTGCCATGAGAATATGTTGTAGTGACCAAAATATTGAAATATCAGTAATATTGAAAAATCTGATAATTGGGATTTTTGAAAATAAGAATGATATAAATTACCATCACATGGCACTAT